CCTGCCACCGTCAGGATAGATGTTCTCAAGGCTGCTCATGCCTCCAAATTGTCCATTTGCCCTAGAAGGACCAAGATGTACTAGGACAGAGGTGTCAATATTGTGGCCCAATAAAGAAAGACATTGTAAACTACGTCTCTCGATGCCTTACTTGCCAATGAGTTAAGGTTGAACATCAAAGACCTGATAGTTTGTTGCAAGGCCTCTCTATTCCGGAATGGAAGTGGGAGCATGTGACCATAGATTTTGTCACTGGTTTGCCCAGGACCTACTCCGATCACAATGCAATATGGGTCATCATTGACAAATTGACCAAGACCGCCCATTTTTTACTAATCAGAACTACATATTCTACCAATAGATTAGCCCGTTTGTACATCGAGGAGATCGTTTGGCTCCATGGTATTCCCTCATCCATTGTATCATACAGAGATCCTTAGTTTACCTTTTATTTCTGGGACAGTTTTTAAAAAGCACTTGGTTCAAAATTGTACTTCAACGTTGTTCATCATTCCCAAATCGATAGCCAGCCGAACATACTATCTAGACACTAGAAGACATATTACACGCTCATGTCCTCAACTTTAGTGATAATTGGTATGAGTACCTTCCCTTATATGAATTTACTTATAATAACATTTATCATTACAATAACAACATGGCTCTATATGAAGCCTACATGGTAGGCTCCCATTCTCCCACTTATTGGAACGAAGTCGAGAACTAACATCGTTTATGACCTAATTATATCCAAAAGATTATCGAGAAAGTCGCTATGATTAGAAGGAACTTAGCCACCACCAAGAGTCGCCAGAAAAGCCATGCCAGCAACCGTAGGAGACCCCTGAAATTTGTTATTTGATCAAGTCTTCCTTAAGATTTTTTCTTATAAGGAAAAAATGCAGTTTGGTAAGAAGGGTAAGCTCCCCCGTTATGTGGGACCTTTTCAGATTGTGGTATGTGTTGGACCTGTGGCATACCGCCTTACTCTGCCCCCAGAGTTTGCAAGTCTGCATCATGTTTTTCATGTCTCTATACTCTAAAGGTACCACCTTGACCCTTCTCACATCATCTCTCACAAAGAAATGTAAGTTCAAGCTGATATGACATATGAAGAACTCTCTGCAAAAATCCTTGGTTAGACTGACAAAGTTATGCGCAATAAGAGGATTCCAATGGTGAAGGTACAGTGGCAACACCATATTTCGGAGGAGACGACATGGAAGTTAAATAGCAAAATGCGAGAGAAGTTTCCTGGCCTATTCATAACAAATTTGGGGAACTAAATTTTCTAAGGTGGCGGGAATGTAACGCCCCAAAAACCTTCATACTTAATTTGTAATGTGAGCCCCTATTTATTTGGACCCTAAGGCCGTTTAAACTCTTTGATATTTCATATTTTAAATTTTCATATCAATTTTATATTTTAATTTTGTATTATTTGGTTAAATAATTATTGAAATTATTTTATTTTATTTATTCATAGATAATTTACATCTAAATTAATTTCAGGGGAAAATTGTAGGAAAAACGGCTCCCGTAGGAGAGGAGTTCGTGCGAGCTACGCGCACTAGTTGCACTGGACACACACGGCCAACACAGGATGTGCACCTGTGTGCACTTCTCATCCGCATGGGGCACGAGGCGCGTTCTGCTCGCGTGTCCCATCATGCGCAGACGGTCACACAGCTCCACGCAGTAGGCCAGCGCGTGGCAGGCTAGGGCAGTATGCGCTGCCTCGAGCAGTGCGCGCTACCCCCTTTGGTGTCGAACACCACTGCTAGCTTGGGCGGCCCGCTGCCGTCACTTGGATGATGTGTCGTCATCATTTAGGTGGTGTGCCTCTGGTTTTCGTGCTACTATCACATCACATCATTCATCCGTCAGTCACATCCGTTGGTCGTCACATCTCATCATTTCACCTTGACTTTCTCTCTCTTCACTAAATTTCACCACTTGTCGCAAATCTAATGGTCTCCAGTTTCTATAAATCGGGATCCTCACTTCACCATTTCTTCATCACTTCCACTTCATTCTTCCTTCCACCAAAGGGTTTTAGAGAGCGAAAGAGTGATGTAGAAAGAGAAGGAGAGGAAAAGAAAAAAAAAAGGCATAGGAAATACCAAGATTTCAGTAAGGAATTAGTATTTAATTTTAAACACTCTAAGGAGTATTTCTAGATTAAAATTAAGAAAGTTTAAATGAAATAGTTATACAATTTAGTTTATATGCTTAAATGAAATAGTTATACGATTTAGTTTATATGCTTAAATGAAATGATTTATGTGTTAATGCATGTTTTATGAACATATGTAAATTGATTATTTGCATGCTTAATTTAGATGATTAAATATTTGGGATAAATGTTGATATATGATACATTATACGATGGTAAAGTAATTAAGCATGAAGTGATGTTTAAGCATGAAAAATATGTATTGGTATCAACATGCATAATTCATAAAGTGTTTCGTTAAGTTTTAATCTCTGAGGGGTTTCTGTTTCTCCCTCATCTGGTCTAAAAAGACATGAGATGACTGCTTTCTGTGGATGACGGCATACCTTTTAATAAGAGTGGTGATGCGATATGACTGTAGGGGTCACCTTTGGCGAAGTATGGTTGTGATCATAGTTAACATATAGGATCACTGTAGTTGGCACAGTCGTAGTCATAGATCGTGTCATGCTTTAACAAAGCGTAAATGTGTTGTTGATTTGGCAAACCACAAATTGTTGATATAATGTGAAATGAATTGGTTATTTCACATGAGTAGTCAGCAATCCGCATTGCCCTCAGTAGTGAAAATTGAAACGACTTCATGCGAAGAGTAAAATGAAAAATAGTGCATTTCATGATTTGTTTGATTTTTTTTATTTTCAGCATGAATGATTTGATGGACACGATATGACTTTTACTTGATATTTTCTTTATTAAAATAAATTATTTTCCTAATTCACAAGGAACCCTCACATGACTCTCAATGGTAAGTAATGATGGTATTTTTTTTATTTATATTTGAAATCTTATGATATTATTTAAATATTATTTTTCTTACTGAGTATATGAAACTCATCCCTTTCCATGCCCCCTTCTAGATGAGGAAGATAGTGAGGAACCAATCGCTAACCTACCACTTGAAGCCTTTGAGGATCCATGAAGTTTTATGAGTGCATAATTGTCTCGCATTCTAATCAGTCCATCTTTTATAGAGGCTTATAATTAATTTTGTTTTACCTTAGTATTGTATGGAACTCTATTATTATTTTGTAAGGGATTGTAATTATTTGTTCCGCTGCATATATTTATCTATTATACACTCGTAATCTATTTCTGTATTTATCACTTTTATGATTTAATTTGCATTTGGGATGCCACACCTTCACTCTATTGATAGAATTCAAATCCAATTAGATCAAGAATAAGAGTTCTTATCCTTTAAGGTTAAAGATTGGATTCTATTTTATCTTTGCAGTTGGAAATCATTAAATAAAAGAGTCCAAACTGAGCATAATACTTCAAGAAGGATTCAGCATAATCCTTGAAGATTTCAATAATTATTCAAAAGTGAAGAGTCTTAATTTATATTTGTTTACAAGTCTTTGTTTTATTATTTTTATTGAAGTCCTAAATAGGACTTCAAGATATATTCCTAAATTTTAGACTTTGAGTTGTATTGTAATTCTTTAGGTCTGTGGCTATAAAAAAGCTTCACTTCTTTGGTCATAATAACTTTAAGACATATTAATAAAACACAAGTTTTTGTTTGATAGCTTTCAGGTATCATGGGTGCTCTGTAAGATGGTTCTTCAACCATTTTGCTAAGTGGAGAATTGGTTCTACTTATCAAGATAATTTTGTGGCATTTAATCAATTTTTATTACTTATTTTAATTACCTTAGTTCTTAATCACAAATTGATTGTGGTTAAGTATGAGAGATTTGTGTAGGAATTAAGTTTTTGTACTAAATTATATGTTGGGATTTTTCTACCCCACATTAGAACGAGGAGGATAAGCAAGAGATAGAATGTGAATAATTTCTTCATCTTCAATTTATGTGCATCTTATCTATTCTCTACCCTTTTTAGGTATTATTTATTGAAAGTATTGGTTAAATTTTCTGACCACTTAGAGATAAGTTGATTTGGCAATTGTCTTAAATTGCACAATCTTCTAAGGAAGAAATCTTCAATCTTGGAAAAAATTTATATGTTGGATTGGTAATATTTCTTTATAGAAAAAAAGTAAAAGAATTTATCTATTACAAAATTATTTTGTACACAGGTGAGCCATTATATTTTTATCAATAACATAAGAAATATTTTATTTTATAAATTTTATTAATTAATTTAAAGTAATGTTAAGTTATTAAGAAAATATGATACCAATTTTTTACACTATTTTTTTTTTCCCGAACTCCTAAGTAACCTGCCTACATTCACAAATTTAACTCATAAAATTAGCGGTTATATTGATTGATTTTATAAGATAATAACAAAGTAAATTGGCTTTTCATTATTATATTTTAAAAAAAAAATCAATTTAATCTCAAAACTTGTCCAATTTTTATTTAGTTCCAAATATTTTATTCATTATAAATAATTCCCAAAATTTTCAATTCTTTTTAAATGAAAAAAGACAAATACACTAAGTCTCTATGTAAATGACTCTAAAAATTTTCAATTGACATGCTAAAATCTCTTCTTCCTCCTCTTTCCTCTTTCTATGTAAATGAAAAAAAGAACATACAAACTTGAAGCTCCAAAACCCTTTGTTTACTTATTCTCTCTTAAATTTTTTACATATATGACGAGAATTTTGATCTTAAACTCTTCAATGAGTATCATGATATCGGAGTTATATCATATATTCTTTGCCTCTCATTCTCCTTTGGGGAGCAAAAGAAACAACGGACTTATAATTGAGCGTTTTCATTCTTTGCTATTGAAGCTTCAAAACTATACATGTAATGCTAAACCAAACATTTTAAATTATAAGGAATAACTAGAAATTATACCTCTTAAATTGGAAAAATGTTATCTTTGTTACAAACCAAAAGGAATTTTCAGGTTAGTAATTTGCCTATTGGTATCGCGCTCATTACTTTCAACAATTTCCTTGAGGGTTGTCCATGACTTTCTCCTTTTACTTGAAGCACTGAGAGTTTTATCCAAATCAGCAATGGCAGACTTGTTTTCAAACTCAGATGGTTTCGGAGTCCGGGATTTGTTTCTCTTCCTCTTGTTTCTATCTAGCAAAGTAGCGGCAGGTCTCACCATTGGTGTTACTGGGCTGTTTGTTATTCCATCCACCTTCTGGATTTCATCTTGGCATTTGGTAGTACCTTCCTTGGTGTTGAAGACACAGCTATGGAGTATGGACTTGGCAGGATTAGAAAGTTGAAGTTTTTGAATTAACGTTGGCTTGACTGGATATATCTCCTTCATGTGACCTTTTTGAGTACCTCTCTTCAAATTTTTGTATGAACAAAAGTGGCACTTGTAAACAACATTATTCTGTGTCAATAAACTATCCAATTTCTTACTACTGCGCTGTGCCTTGACTGAATTCTTTTCAATTCGAATAGTGCAATTAAAGCCAGGCTGAAGAATTGTCTCACATCTGCCAAAAAAAAATTTTACATCTTTTATTGATCTATATTGACGCCAGAACATGGAACTGCAAACAATGTTATCACAGGAATAAATACATAAATAAATATAGATTAAAAACAAAAATCGAACTAAATATATTATTACTTTACAAGAATCCTAATAAGAAAAATAATTCATGGACCTGTAAAAATTCATCATGAACAAATTATTTGCTACCTCATATACATAAGTATCAAAGCAGCTATTCTATTTCAGGACTCCAACTCAATCTTTCAAAATTTTCTAATACGTAGATTGTGAAAATATGGGATTATGATTTATAATTAAATGTCAAGATTAGTGAGATTCAATTGGGATAGGTTTCAATTTTTAAGGATAAGAGAATCTCTTTTAATTCGTTGTTTTTTTTTTTAGTATCTAAAGATATTGACTGCATAATATACCACTACAAATTAGGAATCCGACTGGTATATATACACTCAATTTGTATCCAAAATTGACAGAAGAATAAGAATATTTTCTTTATAGTATCAGAGCACTTGATCTGAACCACAAAAAAAAAAACTTCTTTCTTCCATGGCGAGCAAAATGGAAGGATCAATCTCGGAAGTGACGTCCAGACCTGAAGCAAGTCACTCCGGCAGCACCAGCGCTACAGAAGGCATCATTCTTCCCATAACCAGTCACAAACTTAACGGGCATAATTTGTCAAATAGGCACAGTCTGTCCAGCTTTTCATTTACAGGAAAGGCAAGGAAGCGTATTTTACGGGAGCTGTTCAGCCGAAGGAAGATAATCTAGGACACCGAAACTGGAAACTGGAAACTGGATAAAAGCTCGGTGATGTCTTGGTTACTTAATTCTATGACCAATGACATATAAGAAAACTTCATGTATTATGGCACAACAAAGGAGATATGGGACGCAGCCAGAGAGACCTACTCCAACATTGACAATAGCTCTATGATTTTCGAAACCAAAAGTCTTCTCCATGATCTTCGGCAAGGAGATTCAATTGATACTGAATATTTCAACGTCCTTACATGATATTAGCAACAACTCAATATTTATGAAGAATTGGTATGGAAATGTCTTGAAGATGGACTCCTATACAAGGCTGTTGAAAAGGAATGCATCTACAAATTCTTACTTGGTCTTAATAAAAATTTAGATGAGGTACGTGGAAGAGTTGTAAGTATTAAACCATTACCTAGTGTTAGGGAAGTTTTATCTGAAATTCGTAGAGAAAAAAGCACATAAAAAGTGATGTTAGGAACCCAAAATTCCTCCAAAAATTGTGAAAACACAGCGCTGCCTGCACAAGGAACCAATCCAATAATAACAACCAAATAAAGAAGAATCGTCCATGGTGCAACCATTGAAAAAAAAATGGACACATAAAAGAGACTTGCTGGCATCTACACCATAAACTTGCTGATTGGAAACCTTCTCAGCCACAGCAAAACAGAGGAGGTCGAGACTATACTGCTGCAGTTGAAGAAAACACATCTAACATGACCCCAAATTCCAGTCCATTTAGCAAAGGGCAATTGGAGGCACTACAGAAAATGCTCCAACAGACTCTTCAATCCACTGGAACAACTAGTGGCACTATATATGTAACCCAGAAAAGTATTTTTTCAAGTGCCCTCAATGTTAGACAGGAAAACCACACAACATGGATAGTGGACTCAGAAGCATCATATCACATGATTGGAAATCTCATGGTTTTTCATAAATATACATGTTGCCATAACAATTCCCCTATTCGAATTGCTGATGAAACTCTTTCAAGGGTAGTTCGCATAGGTTCCATCATTATTTCTAAGGACATTATCCTTCACTCTATACTCTATGTACCAAAATTGAATTGCAACTTATTGTCTATAAGTATACTAACATGTGATCTTAATTGTGTTACTAAATTTCTTTCACACTTGTAAATTTCAAGACGTGGACTTTGGGAAGAGAATTGGCAATACTGAGGCGTGTGCTAAATTTTACCTCTTGAGAGCTGAGAAAATCCAAAAGATACCAATGAAGACTACTTGTGTAGTTTCCAATCCTAGTACCAAGACAAATAGTGTTTTTTTGTTATGGTACTATTGATTAGACCACCCAAACTTCTTGTATCTTAAAAAATTATATCCATCATTATTCAATAAATATTTCAGAAAATTTCAATGCGAAATATATTAATTGTCCAAATACACTCGCAATTTCTATTCCATTCAAACATGAAAATCATCTCATCCCTTTTCTTTAGTACACAGTGATGTTTGGAGAGTCTCTAGAATCAACAACATTACAGGTTCTAGATGGTTTGTCACATTTGTTGATAACCATGCGCGAGTGACTTGAGTATTCCTCATGAAAGAGAAATTAGAAGTACGGAAAATATTTGAAAATTTTAACAACATAGTTCAAACGCAATTTGAGGTAAAGATTCAAGTTCTTCGAACAAACAATGCTCGAGAATACTATTACATCATCCTTTGGTCATATCTATCAGAGAATGGTATTATTCATCAAAACTCTTGCATTGATACTACACAGCAAAATAGAGTTACAGAAAGAAAAAATAAACACTCGATGAAAGTTGCACGGTCACTCATGATAGCCTCAAATGTACCAAAACAATTTTGGAGTGAAGCAGTGCTCACAGCAACCTACTTTATCAACCGAATGCCCTCTAGAATTTTTAAACTTAAAACCCCATGTCAAATCCTTTTCACTACATATCCATCTATTTGAATAATCTCATCTATCCCAGTCAAGGTATTCAGGTGTACTGCCTTATTCACATCCATAAGTCCCAACATAGTAAACATGATCCAAAAGCTACTAAATGCATCTTTTTAGGGTACTCACAAAACCAAAAAGGATACAAGTACTACTCTCCTACAACTAAGAAATTCTACACCTACATGGATGTTACATTTTTCAAAAACCAACCATTCTATCCCAAAAATGCAATTCGAGAGGAGAACTGATCCACAAATGAATTCTATTTTTGGAAAACCGAGACCAACACTACTTCTCCTTCGAGTTCATCACTATCTCCACAAACAATTACTACTCTTCCTATCCTTGAAAACAATTCCTCGAATGTCCTTTTTGTCACTCCCGAATCAACTACACAAGACAATAAAGAGATAATGGTCTATTTCATGAAAAAACTTAAAGAAAAAGTCGAGAAACCTCCTCAAAAGGAGCAAGTAGACATCACTCCACTTGAGCACAACCAAGAATTGGACCAAGATTCAAGCAACTTGAACTTACAACCAGGTAACACGACTTATGATCTAGACTCCAATACCAATGGTCTTAATCAACCTATTGCATTAAGGAAATGGGTAAGATCTTGCACTAAGCATCTAATCAGTAATCATCTGTATTATGAAAAGTTTTCATAGAATTTTCAAGCGTTCATTACTCTACTCGAAGATGATCACATCCCATCCAACATCCAAAAAGCACTTCAACAACCTGAATGGAAATATGTTGTTCAAGAAGAAATACAAGCCTTGGAGAGAAATAGGACATGAGAAATCTCAGAACTACCAGAGGGTAAGAGGTTTGCTGGATGCAAATGGATATTCACTATGAAGCATAATCCGGATGGAAGCATAAATAGGTACAAAGCACGACTAGTAGCTAAAAGGTTCACTCAATCTTATGGCACTAATTATGAAGAAACCTTTGCATCAGTAACGAAACTCACCTCCATCAGAGTATTACTATCAATTGCAATAAATCTGGTTTGGAATTTGCACCAACTTAATGTCAAAAATGCATATCTAAACAGAGAAATAGAAGAGAAAGTCTACATTAAGATTCCACCTGATATGGAAACTCTAGAAAATTCAGGAAAAGTAAGCAAGCTGAGAAAGTCCCTATACGATCTGAAACAGTCACCTAGGGCTGGTTTGATCGACTAACTAGAGTTGCAAAAAAGCATGAATTCATCCAATGTCAAGCGCATCACATGTTGTTTGCATTCTTAGGAAGGTAAATTGATTCTATTCATTATCTATGTTGATAATATTATAATTACCGGAAACGATGAAAAAAGGATAAGGAGTTTCAAGAATCTGCTAACAAAGGAATTTGAAATCAAAAATCTTGAACAACTCAAATACTTTCTTGGCATGGAAGTTGGCAAATTAAAGGAGGAATTGTGGTCACATAAAGAAAGTATATCCTTGATCTACTTCAGGAAATTGGAATGTTGGGATGTAAGCCAGTGGACACGTCTATGGATCCTATCGGTAAGATTGATGAAGATACTGAAAGTCCTCCAACTAACAAAGACATGTACCAGAAATTAGTAAGAAAGTTGATCTACTTAACTAACACAAGACCCAATATTAGTTTCTCTGTTAGTATGGTAAGCTGCTATATGAACAACCTAACTGAAAGACACATTAAGGCTGCATACAGAATTTTACAATACCTTAAGAAGAGCCCGGATAAACGACTTTACTTTAAGAAAACCTCAAGTAGGAAAAGTGAGGTGTTCACTGATGCGGATTAGGCAGCATCCTTGGCAAATTGAAGATCAACTACTAGGTATTGTTCCTATATGTGGAGGAACTTGATGACTTGGAGAAGCCAAAAACAGTCTATACTTACAAGAAGCAGAGCAAAGGCAAAATTCAGGGCAATGGCTCATGAAATATGTGAAGGAATACGGCTCCAAAGAATACCCAAGGAACTTGGAATTACATTAAACTCTACTATGATAGTTTTATGTAATAATAAGGCTGCTATAAGTATTGCGAAGAATCCTATTCAACATGACAGAACTAAGCACGAGGAGAAAGACTGTCACTTCATCAAAAAGAAAATTGAAGAAGGGAACAGTCATAATCATGTATACTACATCTAGTCGCCAAATAGCAGACATTCTGACAAAGGCACTTCCAAAGGCAAGTTACGAAAACATGAAGAGTAAGTTGGGAATGCTAGATATCTACCACCCAACTTGATGGAGAGTGTGGAAATATGAGATTATGATTTATAATTAAATGCCAAGATTATGAGGATTCAGATTATAATTAAATGCCAAGATTAGTAGGATTCAGGTGGGATAGGTTTCTATTTTTAAGGATGAAAGAATCTCTCATAATTAGTTGTTGTTTCCTTCTTTGGTACTTACAGATATTGACTGCATAATATATGACTACTAATTAGGAATCCAACTTGTATATATACACTTAATTTGTATCCAGAATTGACAGAAGAATAAGAATATTTTCTTCATATATATATATATATGAAAACAATTGACAGGATAGGGAGAGGACAAACCTCTGGCAAGAGAACAAAGAAGGGTCAGGAACTATCCCTGCAGCTTCTCCATCAGCAGCCAAACGTTGTCCGAAAAAGGCTGCCAAAGAGGGCATTGAAGCATCCTGACCAGCCCACACTGCAAGGTTCTGTGAGTGCTCGTGTCTCAAGATAGCCTTCATGTTAGTTGATCGTGTGGCCCTCGCCTCTCCTTTCATTTGCTTTTTACCAGTCACTTCTTCTCTTAGCGAGATCAGATTTTGAGACCTTGACTGTGTATTTGGTACTGTATTGGTGCTTCTTCTCTTGCCCATTGTGTTGTTGTCTTATGCTCTCTTTCACTCACTACTGTTCTCCCTTGGTAGAAGAATGTAAAACAAATTATTGTCGTCTTCAACAGCCATAAAAAGCCAGAAAACAAAATTCTTGAAGCTCATATAGGGAAAGATACCCATTAAACAAAGAAAAAGAACTTAATGCTAATATAATATTGAGCAGAATCATGACGATAAAATAAACTAAAAAAAAAGAAATCACATAATAAGAGGTTTCAAAGTGGAGGGCTATTTAGAGAAATCCACCTAATATAACAGAAAACAGCACCTCTCTGATCAACTTCCATCCAGACATGCAAGCTTTCTTGGATCAATACCAAGATCTTTTTAAAGATCCACAATCAATTCCTCCATGCCAATATGTTGATCACTGCATCAGTTTGAAGGAAGGGGTTGAACCTGTCAATGTCATACCATACAAGTATGCCTATTTCCAGAAAAGTGAAATTGAAAAACAGGTGAATATAATGCTTGATTCAGGGCTGATTCAGCAAAGCACCAGTCTGTTCTCCTCACCGGTGCATTTAAACAATTCCTCAAAATAACCAAACCTTTAATAAGAGTTCATGATCTACCAACATGATATTATTCTTTAAAACCAAGTCTATCCTCATTAACCTAAGATTACATGCCATATACTAAAAGCAACCTTATGAGAAGCTCAAATATCAAACAGTCACAATCATAACATCAGGAAGCCACTAAAAATAAAACTTTCAAGTTCAAACAGAAAGTCACCAATGATCCAATTAATGAGGGAAATCAGACACCAAAATAGTAGGCACTGGTTGATCTCCCAGGTTATATAAATTTTTAAGTCTTAAGATGTATATTAGTAACTTAGAACTTAATTTGATCCTAAAATAAAAACCAAAGAAACACTAAAGTTTAACAACACAAAAATCAACCATCAAAAAGGAAATTTCATATTAAATGTTCATAACTGGGAAAAAAAAATAAAGGTAACATCTCCATTACTCGAACTCTTCCACAAGCTGAACCATGTCATCAACCTATCCTGTCACTAAGCCCCAAAGATAATGGAAAGAGCAATTTAGAACTACATGCTGAGCATACGTCTCTTCTTACAGCCTAGCAATTTTGAATTTTCACCAATATTTGCATATCAGTGTAAAACATGCAACATTTAATTTGATTTACTTAAGAAAATCTCCCACAATAATTTATGACCAGGTTATTAAGAAACAAAAAGATCCCAAATCTTGCCACCTGATCTTCACAGTCAACTTTCAACTAGCAACATCAGAACCTCAACTTAACCTTTGCATATCACATAGAAAGTAGAATTTGCAATTTATTCATTGTATATAATTAAGATCAAGTGAATTTTAAGGAAAGACATAATCATGCCATGAATTCCATATCCAGATATAGAAGAATACTTCTTGAGTATGCATTGCTAAATAACCATCTAGCATTTTAATCATTTAGGCCTCATGAGGTTTTTCATTAGTCAACGAAATCAACTGTGTATAACCGGTGGTTGGAATAATGATTAAAACAACAAGCAATATAAAGCAAGGGTGCAAACACCCATATTCCTTGAGCCAATTTATACATGAAATAGACATTCATTTTTTTTTTTGAAAATAAAAGATGAATTACATTCACAAGCACCAAGAGAGTGCAATCCAAATACAAGGTATTTACAGAAAATGTCTATTAGGTCCTCTAGATCTTCGCTCGAATAAGGCAGGTGACCCCTAATCTAAAAGCTTAAGGTCTTGAACCAAGAATCCCTATAGATCTATCAACATGAAATTTAATATCCTCAAAAGCCCTTCCAATTCTTTGTTGCAGTATGACCCGAAAGGTAGCCAGAGGGATCAGCTGTTCTCTTATCCCCCTAGATGCCCCTCCAAGCATGAGTTCCTCCTTAATTGAACCAGCAATGACCCAATTCAACCCCCCCCTAATAAACCATACGCCAAACTCCAAAGCACAATGAAATACACATTATTAACTTAGATCAGCAATTCAAAGTATCAAGCAGTCATTGGAACTGACCAGTAAACAAACAATCATGTATAATGTCACAAACATGATGCCCTAGCCCCCAAAGGAAATATATTTAAAAAATTAAAAAGTTTAAAATTGGAGTTGCCACTGATACATTCACGGATAGGATCATGGCAAAAGAATTGCTTAGTAAACAATCTGGCTCAAAATATACAGACAAAAACGTGCAAGAACCCACCCTATGGTTTTGGCTTATTAGTTTACGTCCTACTTTGCATGCATTTGTTTATTTCTCTAATCTAAGTGCAAGTTCACTAACATGCCATTAGAAATTCAACAAATAGTAAGTTATTACCAATCCAAAACAGCACCACAGACCATAAAGAAAAGATCATCAAGCTTCTCCATGCTTCATCAAATGACTCACCTCTTTCATCTCCAGAGAAGACTCAAAACTTATTAGCTTCAATTAAAAAGTTGAAAGTAAGCTATGAAAAATTTTAATCTTTTCCTAAACACTGCATATGAAGTCCTCAACTCTGAAGGAACCAATGAAAGATACAAGAAAGGAAAACTCCAAGCTTTAGGTTTATTTAACAATGGCCCCCTTGGAATTCATTTTTTTTTTTCTATTTTTGATTTTTTTCTATTAAAAAACTGGGGAACTCCTATTACTAGAGAATTTATGTGCACTGGCTCCTCGCCTCTATCCTAATGTAGTTTTTTATCCATTTTTAGCACCTATTTAATATTTTGCCATGCACCCCAACCGGTTTGTTATTTTCTCCCAAAATCCAGAATTTCCATCATATATACATTAACAGCCTATTGTTTTCATGAGAAGCATGGTATTTCCTGCCAACTCAAATCAGCTCCAGATTTGACATGAAATGCAATCACCTCTTTTATTTGAAAATCAAGCAGGTCACCTTGGCAAGAAAAAAGTGATATGAACATCCCCTCCTTTTCCTCACAGTCAAACAGGTTTAATTTACTGCTTTAATCAACCAAGTCAAAAGTAAACAAGCTGTATTCAAAATAGACAGCATATATGCATGTTTGATGAAGGGTACACTCAGTAATTTGTCAACTAAGTACACACATTTGAAAAGATTTAGTCAAACAGGCTCCCATAGTTTATGCAACCCAAAATTTCAGGTGAAGTTCCAAAAGGTCAAACTCACAAGATGTGGAAATGATTTTCTGCCTCTTACTTCCAAGGGATATGTTTGAGCATGCCTAATCAAAATTCCAAGTTACAGTCCTATTGTAAAGTTATACATTCAGCTATACATGGTCGAAAGAGAACCAAGAGCCAAGTTAAATGAACAGAAAGGAGGGGGCTTCGTTTCACAATTATCTGGCCATGACTAGACATATTAGCATGTTCAAGTCATATTAGTCCTAAGAGTCATACATCTAATTTTTAATAAATATTTTACCTGAAGACTATCATATTTCTGGGTGCTAAGGAAAAGAATTTTATTTAGTTTAACTTTAAAGGAGTCCCACTAATCCATTCATGGGTAGTTCAAAGACAAGAAACTGCACCAGTTAACCCCCAAAAAATCTAAGTCCAAATTGTACAGGACAAAGAGGGGTCAGACACCCATCATATGATGTAGACTAATAAATTGGTTCTTAATTTGCATGCATTTGTTCCCGCCCTAATTAAGTTCAACTGTGTGCATGTATATATTCATCAATTATGGGGTAATAATAACAAAGCACTGCAAACCAAGATAAAGCAGGAAAATCAAAATGAGGAAGGAAACAAAATAAATATGACCCCTAATGCCTACCCTACCTTACATTCCTTTTATCCTCATTGAATCTTATGCCTAAATTTGCAGCTCCAAAACATCTATCAGGACAATAAAGATCAAAGAGGGCAAAAAAGGAGAGAGTCAGCAAGTCATAAGGATCTTTGACTCACTAAACTAATCACATATACCCAAAAGTTTCAAATACCCAAATGGTGGCAGATATTACACAATGCAAACTCAATTAGACTGAATCCGCAGCTTGAACAAACAAATAAGAGCACCACCCAACGTATAGCCAGACATCTTCTACTAAACAGATTCACAAGCTAAACACACAGCTTCATGAATTCACCACTAGGCAGTCTGTTACTACCACACCATACCCAACCTATTATTATCCCCCAAATGGTTTATTTCAAAAAATAAATATCCCGCAAATGGTGTTTATTAACTAAGCACACAAGAGCTCAAACATTATTTGAAGGAAGGACAGAAGCTAAAAGAAAGAATAACTAAAAAGGTTATTCTAGCGATGAAAACATCACAAGCTAAACCAGGTATCTTACATAATTTTTCTCATGCTTTTTCAGGCAACATTTACATGTAAAAACCATAGTACATGTTACAATATGGGTGACATGACGCAATGAAGGCCTCCACAAAAATTACAAATATTTTCAAGAAATTCAAGAGAAGTTGTCACTAATCAATTTATAATGGGATTAAACACCAAAACATGCACTGGCTAAATTAAGAGAAATCGGGTTCAGAAAATGATCTGGATGGAAGGTGTAACACATCCACCTGGTGGCATAGGTTCATTGATTTTGGCTAAAATTTTTATTTTAGTTTTGAAAAAATTATAAAAATAACAAAAGAAAAAAATCTAAAAGAATGACACAAACAAAGGTTAAAATCAACAAACATGAATCTTCAAAAAGTATATGATAATAGGACTCCCTAATTCCAGTGTATGTTCTTTTTACCCTTTTAACACCTAAGACCAGATTTTAATAGAATAAATAAACCATGGTCAGCAACTTTTTTTTGAAATAAAAAGTGTAAATGTAGTATTATAAATATAATACCATAGGCAGCTACTTTAAAAGCCTGTTCGTCTTAAACCATCTTGGACCTTCAAGCCACATCAAAAAGAGTATAATAGCATGACAAGTGCAATTAAGGCAAATAAACAATACCTTCACCCAGCAAACAACGTCAATTTACTGCAAACACTTCCACTGGCGCAACAAAGAACCAAGCAGTACCACACAGTCCCAAAATGCAATGAAAAGAAAGCAACAGTAGGCCATCAAGAAAAAGAAACAAAAACAAACATATCAACGGGGTATAGGGATGGACAAAAGCAAAACAAATTGTCTAACATCATTAACATCAACACAAAGGAATAGACTACGCATAAAATACTAAAAGGCCACAACTAAGCCAAACAAAAGGTTTCAAGTTGGCTATCCACAATCTGAAGGGTTGGGAGAACCTACCCCATCAAGAAAACAACTAAAAATTTTCTCGAATACCCTAACAATAAATAACAACAAACAGAAAATAAAGAAGCATAAAGAAATAACTGATCAACAAGTTTCATTCAATCTCTAGTATCAAATATTGTATCTCGTTCATATTCAAACTCGAAAATACAAAGCAATTCCAATTAATGGATTGAAATGAGAAAATAACAAGGGGCCGCATGATACAGTTCAAGCATGAGTTTTCAGTTTTGCTTCTCTGTTTTTGACTTCCTCTAATCACTTCTTTTTTGTTACAATGGAGGTGACGCGAGGCAAAAGACTCCTAAAAAAATAATAGTTAAACTTAAGATTTTAGGGAGCGATCTTATTAGAAGTGGGATCGGACACTAAAAATTAAGCACTTATCAAAATCAGATATCTAATTACAGAAAAGATACATGATAGGAAGATGTGAGGCACATACCTCATAGCATAGACTAATTTAACTAACTTGCATCAAAGCTTACATGAAGTGTGTGAATTTATATATTTACCATAAACTCTGTTCATGACAACCCTTTATGTAAGAACTTAAACATGAGCAAAAGAAAACAAACATCCTGTATAGCTCCTTGCATTTGCTCCTACTCTCATTTGTCAGCAAATTCTATTATCAGCTCAGGTAATTGACTAGTTTACAGCCAGCTAATTTAAATTACTTCTATTGCTACGCGCTGTCATTGCAGTAATAAGAAAAGAAAAAGAACAGATTTCTTACTCTCCAGCTTGTCCCCCCTATTTCTCTTCGGCCTCCTCTTTCTCTCTCTCCCTCTCCAAAACACTTCCTCTGTTATCTCTCTCTCTCCTGTTCTATTTCCCCTTTCAACGTCGTCTTCAGCCCCAATTTTCCCTCTTACCAATCTTAAAAAAAAAGCTCTCTCCCCTGCTACTCTCTAACCTTCCTCTCGACTTCAACGTCGCTTCTCTCACAAAAGCTCGCCTCTCTCTCTCTCTAATGTCCCTCTTCTCCCCCCTCCCCTCGAACAGGGCAGAAGGAAAGCTTCCCTTTTCGTATCCTTTCACTTCTTTCTTTCTCCAGATTGATCTCCAAGTTTGCCAGAACAACATGAGAAAACCCTCTCTCTTCAGTGTGCTCACTGCCTGAAGCCTCTACCTTTTCTCTGCCGCCGGAGTCTCTCTCTCTCTCTCTCTCTGTGCAGGCTTTTCTCTTCTTCTTCGCCATTGAACGGTAAGAGAAAAGATCATTCCGAGTACAAAACGGTGTCGTGTTTTAGGGAAAGAATGGATACACGGGTTGGGTTGTGTATTGGGCTTAAATTGGACTTGCTCTACCATTTATTTGAATCAAGTTCAAAAAGGGGCCGGGTTCAAATGATCTAGGTTGGGTTTTATGGTTTTATTTTTAAAAACTTGGTTAAAATTTTAAAGGACAAATTATTAAATTATTTTTTGAACTTTAAAATTTTCTATGGTTTAATTATTATATATTTTATTATAATTTGGTCCACAACATTTTCATCTATTTTAACATTTGTTATGATTCAGTTTTTTTTCATTTACCAATAAAAAAATAAAATAAAAATTGGTTAAAAAAATATTTAGACATTTTAAAAAACAGTTGAAAAAAACAATTTAAACTAATTATTCTAAGTAATATATTTATATTTTCCATCAATTTATTATAATTAATTTATTAATCTAATTAACTACTCAAATGCGTTTTTTGAGTTATTTTTAACACTCTAAATATGAAGTTTTAGTTTTTTTCATTAACAAATAAAAAATAATCGAAGATCATATTACAACCAAAAACATATTAGATTCTAAAACAACAAAAAAACAAATTTGGAAGTTACGTAAAAAAAACTATTAAATTTGTAAACTAATTTAATAATTTATTTAATTTTTTAAAAGAATATTTATTTTTTTTTATTAACTAAAAAAATAATAAAATGAAACAGACAGTGGTTTTCGACAAGAATTTTAAAAGAGCTTGAAAGAAGGAAAAAAAAGCTGATTTTTGGTGAATTTTTTCTTTTTTAATAGTAATAATAATAATAATAACTAAAACACATAATAATAATAATAACAGTATAATAATAATAATAATCATCATCACCATCATCATCATTATATTACTAAAAATAAAAATAAAATTAACCTAGACAAACCAATTACGTAAAATATTTTTAATGTAAGTCTTAATAATTTTTTTTAAGGATATTGTAGTGAGTTATTATAACAAGTGACAAAATTCTGTTAATCTTAAACATTTAAGATTATAATAAGACAATAAAAATGAGATTTGAACGAAATTCAAGAAGCCACTAGTAAAGGATTAATGCAACTAGGGTATATTTAATTTGGACAGATTATTACACAATATAATTCATAAAGAAGTTTATAATCTCCTTAAATATCAATATAGTGGAACCATGATATTTATGTAGGTGCATACATAATAATAATGTAAAAGTTATTCTCTTAACTTCTGTAACACCCCGCTCATCATCACACTAAATTTGTATCAGAAAACTCTTATTTATTCGGGACTTAAGGCTGCTTGAACTTATTTAAAATTTATCTTCTAATTTTATATCGTATTTCGTAATTTAATTTTATTCTGATTTTGTTATTTTTATTTTATTTTATTTTTTATTATTTTTATTAAAATAATTTTATAGGAGAAAAGATGGAAAAAATGGCAGAATCCTGCGAGAAAACGCCTGCGGGAAAGACCTGCCCACGCGGGCATCACACACTGTGTGCGCATGTGGCTAGCACTAGACCTGCGCACACTGTGCACGTCCCGTCTGCACGGGGCACAAGACTAGTCTGTGCACGCATCCCATTGCGAGCAGATAGGCCAGTTTGTGTAAGTCACATCACGCGTGGACAGGGCTAGGCGTCGTACGCCTTGTGCGCACAACGTCCGCCTAGTAGGGCTGTGCGGATAGACTTGTGTGCATGGGCCTGCGCGCGCGTAGGCTAGCCCTGCGAGTAGGAGGATTGGCCGGCACCTGCAGGCTAGGCCTACAACGTACAACCAGCTTGGGGAGGCGCAGATCGAGAAGTTTTTTTCTATTTTAGACCTGACCAAGGAACAGAAAGTCCACCTAACAGCCTTTATACTGATCGATAAAGTAGAACACTGGTGGCAACTTAAGAAAGAAGTCATGCCTACCCCTACCACCTCAAAAGTTTTCATGAACGCTTTCTTTGATAATTTCTTCCCTGCCTATGTCCGAGGGAAGAATGAGGAGGAATTTCAGGACCTCCACCAAGAAAATCTTATGGTTGCCCAATATACAACCCGATTTGTCCAACTATCTAGGTTTGCCTCTTTAATGTCACTCCCGAAAGTCGTAAATTTAAGAAGTTTTTGAAAGACCTTTGTGCTGATATCTACGACCGGGTTGCGGTGCTGGGACCCAGCTTGTATGCCGAGGTGCTAGAATATGTCCAGTTGGTCAAAGACTTCATCTTAGCCAGGCACCAACGCATTGCTCGAATCCGTACCCAACAACAATAACATCAACCCTAATAATCCAAAAGAAGACTACTCGACCTAGTAAGTAGTTGCCCCGATAGACGAAGCCGAGTTGCTCATCGCCCGACCTTATCAACCATGTCAACATTGTGGTTGCTCACGTGGTAAATTACCATGTCGGCGTATTAATCATGTCTGCTATCGGTGCAAAAGCACCCAACACCTTATAAAAGACTGCCCTCAGCAACCAAAGGATGTGGTAGACCTGTAGCCCAGGGTCGTGTGTACCACCTAGATGAACCTGGTGCCCTCTTCACTCCGGTCTTTATCTAGTGTATACTTTCTATTTATGATACTTTTGTTAGAGGTTTCATCGATACAAGTGCTACCCACTCTTTTTATCTCTTGTGCATTTGCTTGTAAATTAGATATTAGGGCTGAACCTTTAAAAGAAATATTAGCTGTAGAGACTCCCTCTAGAGGACTATTAGAAGCTCACTACTTATATAAAAATTGTAAAATAAAATCTTCAAAAATAGAAGTATTTGTAGACTTACTACTCTTAGATTTCTCAGAATTTGACGTTATTTTAGGAATGGATTGGTTAGAAAAATATAGGGTAATTATTAATTATGAAAATATAGTTGTAACCTTACAAACTCCGAAAATGAACTTAAAATTTATTTTCTCTAATAATTGAATAAATAAGAATATAGATGTTGATCTTGCTGTGTATTCCATTTCCATTGTCTGTAATTTTTTAGGAATTTTTCTGGTCGAATTACCTGGTCTACCTCCCCACAGGAGATATAGTTTTCTATCGACATGCTTTCTAGAACTCAATCGATCTCGAAACCTGCCTATCGCATGAGTTGTGCTGAGTTCATATAACTAAAAATCCAACTTTTCGACCTTCTTGGCCAAAAGTTTATTCTCCCTAGTCACTCCCTTTAAGGTGCTCTGGTGTTATTTGTGAAAAAGAAAGATGACTTACTCAGACTATGCATAGACTACCGAGAACTCGATCAAGTAACAATAAAGAGTAAATGTCATCTACTTCGTATCGACGATCTTTTCAACCAGCTGCAAGGAGCCACGGTCTTCTCTAAGATTGACCTCAAATCGGGACACTACCAATTGAGAGTTAAAGGATAAGATATTTCGAATACTGCCTTTTGGTATATATACGACCTGTACGAGTTCAAAATTATGTCGTTGGGTTAATTAATGCCTATGCTACCTTCATGGATCTCATGAATAGGATTTTCCAGCATGCACTTATGTAATCTTATTCATTGATGACATCCTAATGTACTCTAAGAGCCCGAAAGAACATGCAATCCACTTATCTAAAGTGTTGGAGACACTTCGTCAAAACCAGTTGTTTGCTAAACTCAATAAATATTCTTTTTGGTTGGATTGAGTCTCCTTTCTTGGTCGTGTGATTTCAAGTGAAGGAGTTTTTGTAGATCCGGACAAGGTTGAAACGGTGATCAACTAGAACCTGCCCACCAATGTAGTTGAAGTACATAGTTTCTTTGGCTTGGTAGGTTACTACCGATGATTCATCGATGAATTCTCTAAAATTGGTGCTCCGTTGATATGTCTTATTAGGAAGGGTGTACTTTTTGTCTGGGATTACAAATGTGGTGAAAACTTTATGGAATTAAAGCATCGTCTTACCTTTCCTCCGATATTGATCCTCCCTTACAACACTATAAGTTTTTAGGTCTATTGTGATGCATCTCGGTTGGTATGTGTTTTGATGTAGCATTGTATAGTGGTCGCTTATGGATTCAGACAGTTGAAATCCCATGAGCGAAACTACCCTACTCATGACCTGGAGTTGACGGCTATCATCTTTCCTTTGAAGATATGACGCCATTACTTGTTTAGTCAAACCTTTAAAATTTATACTGACCACAAAAGTTTAAAGTACATTTTCTCACATAAGGAGTTGAACATAAGACAAAGATGTTAGATGGACCTCCTGAAGGACTACGACTGCAAGATCATCTACCATCCCGATAGAAGAAATGTAGTCGCTGATGTGCTGAGTCAGAAGGAGTCCGTTGTGTTGGTCTAAACCCTAGCCTTTAGTTGGAAGTTAGTAGATGCTCTGTAGGCACTCCACCTCAACCACTATGGCAATAATGTCTATCTTGCTCAGATCCAAGCTTTGCCTGATCTTTTTATGAAGATTTGGGAAGCTCAATCCACGAATCAGAAAATCACAAAAAATTTGAGTAAGTTCACTTTTGATGAGTTTTTTTATTTCAGGCTTACCGATGATGGGTTGTGTAGATTTTGAGACTGTATCTGGGTCTCTATTGTTATTAGAACGGATGTTCTTAAGGCTGCCCATGCCTCCAAACTATCCATCCAATCCGAAAGTATCAAGATGTACCGGGACTTGAAGTGCCAATACTTGTGCTAGGAATGAAGAAGGACATTGTCGACTACGTCTTCCAATACTTTACTTGCCAACGGGTTAAGGCAGAACACCAGAGACCCAACGATTTGTTACAGGGTCTCCTAATTCCAGAATGGAAGTGGGAGTATGTAACCATAAATTTTATCACCGACCTACCCAGGACCTTTTCTGGGTGTAATACTATTTGGGTTATTGTTGACAGACTAACCAAGACCGTCCATTTCTTGCCCATCAGGACCATTAACTCCACCAGCAGATTAGCCTGTCTATATATCGATGAAATTGTTCGACTC